CGGACTAGTCCTCACACTTATGACCATCCTCATATTTATGCCCGTGCAGTATTCTTAACAACCATGTCATTCATTTCACAACTGCTTCTCTTCACCATGGTGACAAGATAGGGCAAAAATGTAAAATGTGAGGACAGTCGTAAGTTCGAGGACTGGTCAAAAGTGTGAGGACCAGTCAAAAATAACTTTTTCAGCCCTCTGAGTAGTCCATATGCATTAAAGGATACAGCAATAGAGAGGGATGAAGGAATGGAAATTAGAGTAGGAGTGAGGGTAAGAGAGGGAGGAAGAGAGGAGGAGAAGGAGAAAGGAAGAGGAAGTAGGGAGGAGAAAAAGAGTGTGGGGGGAAGAGAAAGTAAGAAGGAAAGAAAAGAGAGTGGTGGTAGGTTTGAGGAGAAAGATTGCTGTACAATAAAAAAGATGAAAGGGAAGAAAGCCAACCCCAAGCAAATATAAAGATATTAAGATTAAGAATGAATTGTTAAACTTTAAAGAATAAAAGAGAACAAATATGAATAAATGGCAATAATTAGAAACACACATACAAACATACAATGTATTTTCTTTGAACAGAATATTTGGCTGGTTCACAAATTTAAACAGCGTTTAGTCATTTCAATTAAATTTACAATTTCTATATTTCCTTTTTGCCATATTTATTCCTCATCTATTTTTTTTAAAAAAACAATATTACCCTTCATCCTCATCTCTAATCTTAATCAAATTCAATTTTTCCCTTCTATTCTATATTATACCCCTTCCCATTGTCATCTATTTTTATATCCATCCTCACATTGGTTAATTATGTAATTATGTAATACAGTTGTTTAATACAAATTCAACATTTTAATATAAATCAATTAGTTATATAACTATCTTTTTTGTATATTAATCAATATGAACATGAATATTCCAATTATTTCCATGCAATCCAATTTCTTACAAATCAATTAATTATATTTACCAATAATAATAAACCAAATAATTTCCCCCATATATTCCTCCAAACCACAACTTAACCATTTCTGCTTTCAACACAATATACAATTATTAATAGTATCTCAATTATTACAATTCCCTAGTTAAATAGAGCTTTTTTTCTTTTGTGTTTTAAAATCTTGAACTCTCCTCTTTTGCCCAAAATTTCCCATTGTTTGCAGTTTTGTACCTACCTTTTTTGGTGAGGAAAAAGAAAAAGAAAAAGAAAGAAATCTCTCTCTGCCTCATTTTGTCACGTTGCAGGTTTAGTTTCGCTTTAGCCTTTGTTTTCAGTATAGCTAGGGGGAAAAAAATCTGCTCCAGGAACTTTTTGCAGCTTTTTGCAGCTAATTAACCTAGCAGAAGCTGTTAACAGGGGCTGTTTTTTCTATTTTTGCAGGCATGGGTCTATTCATTTTTTTTTAACACTGATCAGCTGTAGGTCAGCCCTTTGAAGCCCCGCGGCAAGAGTTTAAAGAGTTTTTTTTCCCTCTAACCATCAGCGGGGATTCAGGAGGCAGCCGGGACTCAGGAGGCAGAATGAAAAATCGGGACTTTTTTAAAACACCGCGGGACGCGGGACAAATTGCTCAAAAGCGGGACTGTCCCGCCAAAAGCGGGACGTCTGGTCACCTTAACTGTGTATCATCCACAACCCTCTGTGATCCTAGAGACTAATATATACATTAGCATGTATTTATTCGGTAAAACTTTACTTAAAGTTTTAACCTTTCTTTCATTGTAGGTCAGTAGGATGGAAAGTATAAATGACACTATGAAAATTGAAATTGAATAGCAAAAATGCAGTATGAAACAAATAGAAATGCAGTATAAACTTACAAAGGCAGCATTATAGGAAAAGCATAACAAAACAGCAAATTAAATCAGCTACCAAATACTATGCCAGGAACCAAAGAACTGTGAAACTGTTTTTAGAGTGCCTTTCCCCATACTATACATTCATGTGAGAACACAAGTGAGAAGCATAATGTAGTTGTTCAAAGGGAGGAGAGAATAAGAAATGACCCATTTCATCCAGCCTAGTTCGTATAAAGAAATTAAGAACTGAATTGACTCCAAAAATGCTGGAAAAGCTGTCTACTTCTTAGGCTGCACTTTTTTCTACTTTTCCCTCCACTGAAATAGACAAGTGAGTCAATACAATTGAAAAAGATTTAACAAAAAACTCAGAATATTTGTTGGGTCATCTTTACAAGTTTTTCTTGAAATACAATCTCAAACCCGTTCAAACTGCATTCAATATATCCAGCAGTAAAAAGCTAAGCCTACTCAGTATAGACACTGAAGTGAAGGACAAGGAGTTATAAAGTTAAGATTTAGTTTTGTTATTGGCTAAAATTGAGATTGTGTTATGAAGGCTTATCCTTGAATACCAACTTCTGTTCTTCTGTTTTTATGAATTGTCCACATTCTGTGAACAAAAGTAGATGTAACAATCTTTGTTTGCCATCATTCATCATTCATTACATTGATTGGCATTGTTATTTTATTATTTTTCAACATATACATTTCTTTCCTAAATTAACCATTCACTTGAAAAATTGAAAGTATTTTGATAAATGTACATAACGTCTGTTAATATGTAGAATGTTAATAATTTAATAGAACTCATAACAATGTTGTCCCATGTGAGTTGTTTCCTTTGTTATTATTATTCTCTAGACTCCTTCTGAGCAATCATCGGAACATGATTTGTGTTGCCTTCAACAAGTTTTTCTTACCCGTAGTTAGTCTCATTATCATGACTCAATGCTTTGAGAATTATTTCATGCTTTTGAATAGCATTTTTAAGTAGAAATGAAATAAATATGGATGTTGTGGGTCGTTGTTCTAAATCCGATGGGGAAGTTTCATTGATAAAAGTGGCTTTCTGTTTTGAGAGGCATCTTTTACATATGAAGCAGAAAGGAAGAAAACAGCAATAATCTAAGTAGAGGATGCATAAATTGTCTTTGCTGTCTTGCCTCAAATGTAGAGGTTACAGGTTTTAAGATGCCCTTCCAGAGAAGGCTTAATATTTTTGAGAAACTAATGGCACCATTTTTGCCTCCTTGAACCAATCCTTAGAATGTTTTCTTTGCAGTAATCCATCAAGAAGACAAACTTATTTCTACTGCATTTAGAAGTAGGATACCTGAAATGCCAATTTAATTTTTCATCCCTAATGGATTGCTTGGCATTTTCAAATAAAGGAATGAAGATTTTCCATTTGATGGCTGCTACTATTGTAATATAACTTAGATTGGCACCTACCTCCTGGCTTTAGGAAGTGCTCGACTTGGCTGTGACGTTGTGTCTGGGGGTTCAGCAATAGTGATGAGCCTTGGCAATGACTATATTATAGGGGGTATTATTTATATTCGGCAGGCAACTGTGATTATGTTTTATTGAATTTTTAATTGTGGTTTTAAAATAGCCGTAGCTGTGCTTTTTTTTTTTTTTACTATTTCTGTTGAGAAATAATAAAAGAGAGATCTTGATGGTATGGCATTTTATATACATTTCACTCTTACTAATATAAAATGCACTCTGGCCCTTATTAGAATGGGATTATGTATCACACTTTTCACTTTTTAGTTTTTCTCTATTTAAGAAAATTTTAAAAAAACATATGAGTTAGAACACAACTATCTTTGATTGACACAAGAATCTATCCTTATATAAACCATTACCCTCACCAATGGGCCTTTATGTTGTATTAATATGATTAAATTATAAAGTCAATAATATGCTCTTAATTTATTTATCTTAAATCAGATCAATAGAACATTCATCTGATAGAAATCCAGGTTGTTAATTTAACTATTAAAATTCAAGTGAACTCATATGTGGAATAGAATAAAAGGTGACCTTATCAGGAAATTGCAATGCAGCTATGAGTATGAAGACCTGAACTCTATAGGGAGTATTTCAGAGGAAATGAGGATTAAAGCAGGAGGCATTTTGTAAAGGGAGAAGTGGATATTTTCAAGTATTGTCTGTTTCTCAAATATTCATTATTAAAGATAACGCTTTAATAACTATTTTCACCAGGGAATCTATTTCATCCTGGTGTTTATATCTATATATGCATGGACATGACTGTGTACATGGATTCACACACATGTTTGCATAAGAATGTGTGTACTGTGTGTGTGTGTTTGTGTGTGTACATATACATGTATTCATTCATATCTAAATATTCCTACTAATCCAGCATAAAATATACTAGTATAAAATATTATTAAATAAGCCATGTAGCTTAAAAGTTAAGTGCAAGGATACTTCCTTGTGTCTACCCGTTTGAGGTATTTTAAGGACAAAACAATTTAAAAACATTTTCTTCCAAGATGTTTTTTTCAGCCTTCCAGTCTGGCCTACAGCTCTGGGATTTCTGTCGATCTTCCATTGTGATACATCAGAAATAAATATTTCTGAGCATTTCTGATTAACACTGCTGAAAATCACATTTATGTGAAAATAGATACCAAGTGTAAGAGCAAAGCTCCTTTTTATAGATGTAGCAAAGACCTTTCCTTTATCTAACAAACTATGCCAAGGGCCTCTAAAGAAAAGGAGGCAGCATCACATATTGTACCACAGATGATCCCAAGTGGGCCAGAATCAATGAGTAATCCCAGAAATTAGACAATTTGTTCTTGCCCTGGTGGCTGTCCACCCATTTGAAGATGGCTTCATAGTGAAGTCTTATGTGTATCAGCATATATACTTTCACATGTATCTAAACTAAATACTTGCTTTTATCTTGTTAAAACAAATGATTTGCCAGATTCCAGGAGTGTGTTTTATCTGTCCTCCAGAACCCAATACTTTGCAAATGTGTGGACTATAACTCCCATCATTCTCAGTCTGTATAGTTGACACAACCAGAGGGCCCCAATTGGAGAAGGTGATGCTTTTTAATTTAAGGCTAGGTTGAGAGTATCAAGAGCAAAGTGGTTTTATTATGAGTTGGTTGCCTTGACTGACATTGTCTGATCTCTTCCATTATTCTTTTACAGATTTTGGCTTCAGATTATTGCATCCTGGAAAGCTGGATCAGAAGCCATCATTGCCTTTGATAATGTGTCTCTCAGCCTGGACTGTTATCTGACAAGTGAGCAAGTCTATGATTAGCTTTTAGATTGGTAGAGTGCCCATATGTCTTGCCAAAGACTAAATGCTTTCCATTACACTTAGAATGTAGGTGTAACTTATATTTCCTGCTTTGGTGCTTCCCCATATCTTGAAAAGAAAAGATAAGGTGTCAGTTCTTTAAGTTAGATTGCACTAGGAAATCGGAGTTATGAATGCTAATGCTATTTATATTCTAAGTTTTGGGTAAGACAATCTTATAAATCTGAATGTGTTTTTTCCCTCTGTCCTTCATGAGAATTAGGGAAGGTCATGCATCAGATGCTTTGTCAAATTGCATTTCTGCCTCAGATGCATATTTCCTTTATCTGAACATTGTCTTGGCTGGGATTCTTTCTCTGTTCCTCAAAATTATTCCTTCTGCCCATTACATGGCGAACCCAGTATTGCTGTGGTTTTATGTCACAAAGCTTTCTGCATTTATTGTGTTGAATATGGACAAGAAATTCAGTGATTTTCTAGACAGAAAACATTAAAAGTCCCATTATGCTATCATATTGTACTTCCTAGAGTTTGTTTGTTTGTTTGTTTCATTCAATTTCTGTAGCTGCCCATTACAGTGAATAATTCTGAGCAGCTTATAGTTCAGAAAATACATTACAATTAAAAATACCAAAAACATTTTAACACAGTAAGAAGGATTTCAGGATTCTGTGTAAGTCTTTTAAGACAGGTCATAAATCACTTTTTCCAAAGCCATTGTAATTTTGAATTATTGTTAAATGAATGGTCACTATGTCTAGGACTACCTATATTTTTTGCTTAGCTATTTTACAACCATGCTCCATAGCATTCCAAAAGAAACCTCTTTTTTCTTTTTAATGAATTTCATTAGTGCACTTTTTGTGCACTAATGCAAATAATGTTCAATTTTAGCATCTACAATTATGAAGAAATATAAAGAAAGAATATAAAGAAATGAAAATTATATAAATTTTCTGTGACTGCGTGGTTATACAGCATCTATTGGAATTTTTCAATTATGATAAATATCTCCTTTCCCCTTCTTAGTATCTTTCTCTTTTTTTCTTTCTTTCTTTCTTTCTTTCTTTCTTTCTTTCTTTCTTTCTTTCTTTCTTTCTTTCTTTCTTTCTTTCTTTCCTCCTGTTTTCCCCTTCTATTTATTTCAAATCATATTAAAGCGATAATAGATGCCTGGCTACCTTTCCTTTTAACACTATGTATATTTTGATTGCAATCAGTTGGCCTGGTTTGATTCACCAGCTGTTGCTCTCCTAACTATTTCAGGCCTACACACTTAGCCCTACACAATCCAAAACCAGACTGCTTTTTATGTTTCAGTCAATGAAGAGAAGACATATCGACATAACAGACCAGATGCAGGCAATCTGCTCTATGAAAGAGGTAGGGGAGAAGGACATTTTGAAGAAAAACCAACACAGTTTACTGTTCCAGTTGGCTTTGGAGGTAGGATATTTGGCTTCTTGACAATGATTTCAGAATGATTGGCGCACTCACAAGAGTGCAGGTTTCCAATGTACTGTTGGCTAGAAGGCAATCAAACAACAAAAAGAGAAATATTGATACCAGATAACTATCACCAGTATCAATCAATAAGAATTAAAGGTAATACTAGCCTGTGTACACACTTTAAAGATTAAAGGTACCGATCAATATAAATAATTAATGTATTCAACTGTTGAAAAACATCAATAAAAGAAAAATATTCTGAACTAAAAATGGAATTCAGGAAGAACTGAGGGGTTATTTTATAGCTTACAATATGTAGGAAAAATTGAGATAACCATGAATGGAATTCTCCAGTTCATTCCCCCAGTTTTATCTAGGAGATCCTATTGTTGTTGTTATTATATAGAAAAAATTGTGAAATCATAGCTGCCAGTTCTTTAGTTAATATTGCTCTTCATATGCATTGCCTTCTTTCCAACAACCTACTGTATGTGTGCTAATAATCATATTATGATAAAATAGACAGAAATGTGAAATCACAGCTGTCAGTTCTTTAGCTGTTCTTGGCTTTCATACACATCGAGTTCTTCCCAACAACCTACTGTATGTGTGCTAATAACCACGGAAAATACCATGGTTGGTTTATGCCATAATCTTTCAGTTTCAATTTTCAGATAGCAATACTTTGTGATCTTCTCCAATTCTTTGCCTATTCTACTATCTCCTAGTATTGCCACATCAAGTATCCACACTTTTTTCTTTTCAGCCAATTAAATCTGATGTGCTATATGCCAACACTATCAGTTTCTATTTGGAAATCCCATGATATTTTAACCTGCTTATTTTTAACTACTTTTACAATTCTTAAGTTCCCAACAATTTTTCATTACGGATAATTTTTACTGATGTTCCAGTGAATCATGTTGGTGACTGTGTTATATAATTTATAATCAGTTTGTGTGATCATCTTGCATGAGCTCAGTATATGATCTACTGTTTCTTCTGTCTCTTTGCACAATCTGCATTTTGATTCATTAGACAATTTCTCAATTCTGACCTTGATTACATTAGTTCAAATAGCTTGCTCTTGAACAGCCAAAATTAAGCCTAGAGAATCATTTTGTAATGTTCCAGTTATAAGCTATTGCCAGGATTTATTTTTATCCACTTTTCACTTAGTCTTTCTAGAAATTGGACATGTTTTTTTTATTGTCAGCATTCTGTGTGTGTTTTGATTATGTTACTTCAATATTCATATTCCGATGCATGCTTTTCTTCTTTGACAGTTTGTTGGACTTGAGGTAAACCTCTACCTCCATTGCTGCAGCACAGGTATCATTACAGAGATGTAATGCAAAATGAATAGTTATTAGTTTTTTAGTTTTTGGGCTCAGACAATCCAGTTCAGCCTGTGTCCAGTTAATAAAGCCAGCTGCCCAATGTCTAGGCATTGATGGCTTTGATGGTGATTCCCCATTCAATTTTTTCTTTAGTACTTTTCTTACTCTTTTAATGTATTCTTTATTAATCACATTTTCGACTTGTCCATGCTTGTTATCCAACTGTAAAATGCCCAAACATAAATTTTATTTTTATTTATACACTTTATATTTTATAATTACAAGTTGTCCTCACTTAATGACCATTTATTCAGCAATCATTCAAAATTATAACGGCAACCTGTTTGTACTTATCCTTTATATTTCAGAATGACAAAACACTTGTAAATGCAAAGCTGCTTTATGGGAATTATAGCATACTCTAAGCAGTTGCATTGCAGCTTGGAAAAGCCAAGATTCCTAAATTTGGGCCTCTTCCCACTTCTCACTCTACCCATCCCTGTGCTCTACCAGCCACAGCAACAGTCCCCTGCCTGTGTCCCTCCACCAATCTCCTAAACTTCCCCTCCTCCATTCCTGGCCAAGCCACCAATATCTATCTCCTGCCTATTTCTTGAATATACTGTATGAAGTGAAGCAGGTAACAGAGGAGGTGCAGGAAGGGGGAAATGATAACAATGATGCAGGGGCTGAATGACAGCCACTGGCTGTCACCAGGTGAGGCAGAGAAAGTGTTCTCCTGTCTGCTTGGTCACCTAATGCCCCTGAAGCTCAAGACTCTCCCATACAAGCTGTTGGGAGAATATTTTTTCCCAGGATCTGATACGGAGGTGGAAGGGATGATATATTTAGGCTGCATTCCTGGTGGCTATTAAGTGGTCACAAAGCAATGCAGAAAACTCTTCACTTGTCTCCCTTTTTACAGCCCAGATCTGATAGCTCTTGTGAAAAAAAGGGTATGAGTAAAATGAGAAAACCAAGGAATGTGCCTACGAGAAAAATGTGAGAGAGGTAAAGATTACAAACCAAGACTGTGATTTTTATCAAAGAGAGATGTTGCTTACTTACGTAGATATATGCCTAGTACATATTTATCATGCTATTTCTTTGAGGGTAAGCAAACTATTCAGAGTTCAGAAAGGTAGCAAGAATAGATAACAATAAAAAGTCAAAAAGATTAAAAGCATGAGATATTCTCTTCAGGGAGATTGATTTAACTTCTACAAGTCTAGTTTACTTTCTCTGCCTGCGGCCATTCTACATTTATTGTAGATTTCACTCTTCTTTCTTTTTTCTCCTTCTATGACTATTTTCCTCCCAATCCTCTTTTGACAGTACCAGAAATGGTCTGTCCCACCCTTATGTCATTCTTGTCTCTTTCCCTAATTGTCAAGTTATTCTTGTAAATAATGAAATTGATCACGTTTTAGATTTTCTGCATTCCTGCTCCAGTTGTACAAATCAATACAAATGTTTAAGATTTGTATATGAATCATATAAGAATCTCAAAGTTTCTCTTGTAAAAGGCAATTGGATTTTCTTGTTTTTCTTTGAAGACCTTTCGCTTCTCATCCAAGAAGCTTCTTCAGTTTGTGAAGAACTGAAGAAGCTTCTTGAATGAAAAGCGAAACGTCTTCAAGGAAAAACAAGGAAGTCCAGTTGCCCTTTGAAAGAACCCTTTGGGACGATCATGACCTGGATGACTGAGAATCTCCATAGACACGAATCATATGAGAACTTCTTTGAAGCAGGTGCTCACCAAACAGTTTGCATTTCCATTCCTCCTGGCCAAAATATATCCAAACTGACAGTATTATATGTTTCAAGTGTACTAACCCAAGCCCAGTTTCATTCCAAATATTTTCTTTTCAAAGTAAGATCTTTAATCTGGAGAGTAGCTTGCAAGCCAACATGAATGGGTTGCCAGCACCTCATGAATGCAGAGCTACATCAGCATGCTGAGAACACATTTAGCACACATGATTGGGTATTTTCTCTTATTTGTGATAGCTTTTTTCTTGACGGTTGCATGTCCCTCATCATAAAAGTGACAGTCTAGCATTCCTGCTGGAAACTAAAATTGATTTGGCTACAGCTCTGCAGGAGCTATCTGCTTTCAGTTTGAAAATAAAGCTAAAAGGCACAGCAGGGATGGAGGGGGAGATAAGTTCTCCAGCACAGCAAAATCATCTATTTACTTCCCTAGAACAGCCTAATTACTTGTCCACAGGATAAAATTAGATGTCGGCAACAAGAAGGAGTAAGCAGCAAAATAACATCAAGAGTAACAGATAAGGTGCTTATTTATTTATAAGTTATATACTAGTTACTCTTCAGCAAAAGCTCCTAGAACAGTTTGCAAGAATTAAAAAAGGTCAACAAATATCAAACAATAAAACATGCCCTAAATTCCAGCATAAAAATAAGCTAAGTGCAAATAAACAACTCTGAAAGCAAATATTATATTGTGATTTACATTGACAACAGTGCAAGTTCACGCAGAAGAAACACCTGACCAGATGTTCTCTAAAGTCACTATTTCCTGCCCAGATGTTCCTTAAAGTCTCAAGGTCTATTCTGAATCCTTCCTTAATGTGAAGTCAAGTGATTGTCTCAGGCTGATAACAGAGAAATTTTCTATAGTTTTTAGATCAATTTTCATTCAGTTTGAGAAGAGAACATTTCAGAAGAATTTCCCCGGTACAAGGGAATTCATGGGTAAAGTGGACTATACTATTCTTGTGTTTGTTTTGTTATGAGATGACCAAGATATATGTGTAATTCTCTCATTTTTGATCGCACAATACTTTATTCAGTCATCCACAGGTTCAAAAGAAGTCATTGTGAGAGAACTTCTGGACTTTTTCAGTAGTGGTGCTGCTACCTTATTATCATTAAGCTAGAGTCTTGCCCTTAAAAAATTGTCGGAGTTTTTTTGTGAAATATTTTGAAAAACCACTTGTGACCAGCTCTAGCTTTTAGAACCTACAGTCACAGTGAGCATTTGGATCTATGCTCAACAGAGATGTCTGCAAAATTTGATAATAAAATCATAAAAAGTCAAGATGGTGGCGCCAACAGTGTGTTTGAAGTTCCTCCTGATGTACATAAGAACATTGATTGCACCATCATGACACCGCTAATGCTGAGATGTAGAAAAGCAACTATCAAAATAAGATGCTTTTATCATGCTATTACAATTGCGCAAGCTAACGGGTCAGTCTTGAAATATGCCAGCTATTAAAAATAAAGAAAAAAAGAAAAAAACAAGTAAATCACCAGAGCCTCATATTTTAATATTTCTGCTACATTAATTTTCCTTTTGGATTATGTTTGAGGAACCTTGTGACAAAGTCTGTATCTGCCATGTAGAAAAGGTTTATAGAAACCGACTAACAGTTACCTTTTCCATAAATGAAAAATAAATGTAAAAATTGATTCTTAAAAGAGAAAGGTGTTCATGGTTGTCTGAGGGAGCATGGAGGTCTTTTCCTCTCAGCTTTTTGGAAGTCTGACACAATTAAATGATAATAAATGGAAGCACTTTAGGAAGAAAAAATATCACGCCTACTTTATTGCTCCTGGGAAGAATGATACTTCAAGTACAGACTATCCTGCTGTTCTATGGCAGCAGTATAATGTGACATAATACAGAATCCATTTTGCATAAGATATATATTGCAAATGCAAGCAAATGCTTAAGAAGCCATATTGTCTATCTTGCTAGATCTGATGCCACTGATCCATGAAGCAGCATTTCAGATGGTCTTTTTTTATTTTGAAAGTCCTTGACAAACACTCTTACTCATGAAGTCAGCAGGTAGCATCTATCTTTGGAGCGTTTATCATGGCATTTACAAATTTCATCAGATATAATAAATCTACTTTGAAAAAAAAGACAGAGAGAGCAGCAGTTTTTTTTTTCTTTTTAAACATAATCAATATTCACAGCTTTATTCCACCTTACAGCAAACATTTTGCAATGCCATGCGGGTTAGAATATGAAATAATGGTGCAACTGCAGCTGCACTTCAACTTCAAAGAAAACAGAACAACAAAACTACCATTACATGACTGCACTTTTTCTTTATTTATCTATTTATTTAATCCTGACATTTCAGTGTCACTCCAATCTAAAGGCCTCTGACTGTAGAAGCAGAGATTAATAACAACACAACAAACAGAAAATAATGTAACGTAAACCAAACTGCAATGGTGTCACCACACAGGAGCCGATCCCAAATTTATCATTCCCCCAAATACTTTTTCTCAAATTTTTAACTTTCCACAGAAACTACACAAGGAAGCTGAACAGGGTCCTATATTTCTGTGAGCAAATTATTCCTAAAGAATAGGTTATTTCTAGAAATAATAACTTAAATTTCCTGTTATTCCTACCCTTAGTTTCCTATCCTAACCAGTAACCTGGCTAAAATTACCTGAAAGTTTAACCCACTGCTCCTACTCTTAAACAAAGGACTTTGCTGAAAATCTTCATTAAGAGCTTTGTGGACAACTAAATATAAGCATTGTGTAGGGATGAAGTGCATTACAAATCAAATAAATAGAACATCAACTGAGTTACTTCTGTCTACATGTCTATACATTCTTAAATAACACCAATAATTTCCAGCCTTTTTCTCCCTCTCCAGGATGGCAGGTAGGAAGTGGGGTTGGATGGGCTTGTAATAACCATCTTGAGCCCAGGGTAATGGTAAATCCTCCACAGCCCCAATCAGTGAGATAGAGAGGGGTTTGGTCTTACCACTGGCTAGCCATTAAAATATCCTAACAAAAGTAGGTATGTGTGGGCCTTCAAGTCCCACTCCTGGACAAATCCTTGCATTTTTCTTGACAAGAAGTGGCCTGTCATTACCTGTTTCCTAGGGCTGGAAGAGAATGACTGGCCCAAGGCTCTCAACTGACTTTGTGCCTAAGACTTATAGCTTCCTAATTTTTAGCCTAGTACCTTAACCGAGGTACATACCACATACCTTGGTTTTAATTTACATGAAAGCTGGGACATGATCATTGAAGTAAAGACAAGGATAGAGAAAGCTTGAACAGCACTCTTCAAAATGAAAAAGGTCACGACATAAGCCTAAGACTGAAAATCAGGCTTGTCAGATGTTACATCTTTTCTATCCCGCTCTACGGAGTAAAGAGTTGGTCTCTGACAGAAAACCACTTGAAGAAACTAGAAGCATTTGAAATGTGGATTTACGGATGGCTGTTATGTATAAACTGGGTTAACAAAATCACAAAAGAGGAGGTGATAAGCCACCTCTAAGCAAAGGGAAATCATCAAAGCTATTAAAAAGCTAGTTAGAATATTTTGGACATGTGATGCGACACCCAGAAAAATATGGCATCCTTCACTTAATCCTCCAGGGAAAGATTGAAGGCAAACGAGGACCAGGAAAAAAAAGAACATCATGGCTTCAAAAGGGACCGGTTTGGACAAAATTCAGCAGCACTTTTTCATACGGCTGTTGACAAAAATAGGATTGCCAACATGATCACCAACATCCAATGACAGATATGGCACAAGAATAATAATAATAATACCTTAACCTCTACACCAAACTAGCTACATCATTATACAAAACTGCCCTCCAAGAAGACATAATAAAAGGAAAACCACATGAAAAGAGGACAATGGTAAGGAATGAGGGATTTTTTTAAACAATTAAATATACTCAACTAAACTGTACAGTGAAAAAGAATATTAGATATGTGTTCACTAAATCTATATAGATTGATTTTGATACATATGCCCTGTTGCAATATTTTCAGGATCAGACTCAATAAGATCAACGAGAGTTAAAGATTTAACTATATATTCTTTTATTTACATTAGGCATTCTATATTCACTGAATATTCACAGATAGAAGCAAGGGAAATGGTGTAGGTAGCTCCTTATATATACAATGGGTGGAGCTATATGTGGGAGTGGTGAATTATGAATACATTAAGAAGTGAAGAATAAGTTAACCCCTGATACCCTGTCTGTACACTATTTACACATTGGAGAATAAGGCATTTATATCTGACATGCCCTTTCTTAGTACTGTCTAGCAGCCTTCTATTGTCTAGCAAAATTTTGAAGAGTGCCCTTTCCCCTTCACTAATGTTCACATCACAGTGATACAGGATGTAGGTTACATGAAAGTCGTGCCTTTCATAGATCATAATAAACATGCCTTTTGACTATTCTGTTTTGACATTTAGATAAACTAGTTAACTAATATCCTTTTTTAGAAATACTTGATCATAGGTCTTTGAGGAAAATACTAAAATAATTTCGGATAAAATTGAAGTGAGAGAAAGCTGGAAGAAATACTCTAGATATTTGCACATGATAATCAAAGAGCAGAATTGAAAAGATTGTTATGAATGTTAGTGCATAGGAAAAATGATAAAAAGAGTCACAGCTACTGGGGGAATATTGAAAACAATAAGGCTGCAGATGTAAATGGTATAACTGGGAAAAAAGTGAAAATATGGATTGATTCAGTGGTGGGTTGCCCCCAGTTCAGACCAGTTCACAAGAACTGGTAGTAAAACCAGCGGGAGGCTCCGCCCATTGACCCGGATGTCATCATAGGTGATCTGCGCACGTGCAGAAGCGTGTGCTCTCCCGATGCGAACCGGTAGTAAAGGTAAGTAGAACCCACCCCTGGATTGATTGATTTACATATGGAGTGGCTGTGGGACTTGTTTATCATGTGTGTGAAAACTACATCTCTGTCTGACAATAGGAAGAAAGCTGATACTGTTCCCCCTATTCAAAGGTCAAGATAATAAGATTGAATGGAAACACTACTGTATAGATTTAGTAGACACACATAGAAAGGTGTTCGTTTCAGTTTTCCAAAGGTCACAGAGAGACAGCGTGATACCAGATTTGTCTGCCAACAGAACAACAGACACATAGAAGCCATTCCTCCTGGCCATTATTTTTCCTATGGGTGGAAGAAAATAGCACAATCATTTCAGCCCTGAGACACTATAAATAGGGCTTGCATTTATTAATTACAGATTAGTCACTGGAATACTGTCATAATGGCTTCATTCAGTTTTCTACAGTAAATGCAGCCCTTGATATTCCTGAATACCTGCTTATGTGTTTCCGCTCCAGCTTCCTTAGAGAAGTCTAACAAAAGGTCTTTTGATCAGAATTCTGATCAAAACAGTACAAGCATAAAATCCAAGCAATGCAGGGTGCTTTTATGCCCCGTGGGGGTTGTGCAAACAATTTTTTGTCCTTTCAGCAGCTGATTGATAAATGCATGAACGTTTGAAGAAATATTTACTTTATCGTTGCAGAGAAAGTGCATGCTTAAGTGAATCAGCTTGAATAATAGAATGTTTTGCTTGCTGAGTGCAGTAAGAGCAATATGATGGAAATAAAGCATGCATGAGAATAAACAACTTTCTTAGCAAATGGTTCAACAGCAAGAGGAAATAAGTGAAGGATATGTAACATCCACATGGTTGTCTAATAATAAGGAATATTGTCATCCTGTGTCAGTTGGGGAGGTAAAAGTATGCAGATGATATTTTAGTATGCGGGTGATGTTGTGCTGTTGGCTGAGAACCTGAATGATTTGAAACAAATGTTAGACAGATTGTATTTTGTATTGAAGTGTAGCTGAACATTTATATATCAAAGACCAAGATGGTTGTGTTTGACAGGGAAAACAGAGCCAACATTTGCCAACAAAAATGGTAAAAAAAAAAATCTAGAATAAGTAGATGAACCTGTGTGAATGCTTACTAAAGATGGAATGACATATGGAGAAATTTTAATATAAGTAAATTCTGGTAGAAAGATAATGGGTATTATGTGGTCTGATGCAAGGATTAAA